GGCAAAGGTCACGTACGGCAATATCTTATCCCAGTTTTTATGTTCCGTGTCAACGTACATGCTGATCATGTCTGTGAGGGTCCTATTTAGGCGCGCCGTCAGTCCGTTTGTCTGCGGATGGTATGCAGTTACTCTCCGGTGAGCTGTACCGCTGAGTCTGAGAAGCGGCTCCAAAAGCTCTGCGGTGAAGGCAGGTCCTCTGTCTGTGATCACCGCTGTCGGAGCGCCATGCCGAAGGACGATGTTTTCAATGAAGAACTGAGCGGCTTCTGCTGCTGTGCCGTGCTGCATAGCTTTAGTCTCCGCATAACGGGAGAGGTAATCGGTGGCCACGATTATCCACCTGTTCCCTGTTGTGGAAGTTGGAAAGGGACCCAGGAAATCTATTCCAATCTGGGTGAACGGCTTCGCTGGTCCTTTGACTGGATGTAAAAGACCGGCTGGCTTGCTGGGAGGTGCTTTGCATCTTTGGCAGTCGGTGCAAGTTTGCACGTGATGGTTAACAGCAGCGGGTAACTTTGGCCAGTAGTACTTGCATCGTAGTGGGCACAATGTTCGGGTGTAATCTAGATGACTAGAAGTTGCTTCATCATGGCACGCTTCCATAATTTCTTTTTCGAAGAGAAGCAGGCACGACAAGCAAGTGCGGGTTGCCGGTTGGTAAGAAGTTTTTCTTACAGAGAACATCGTTTCGCAAGCAAAAAGATGGCAGTCCTCTGGCAAATAACCGCGGCATATGCTTACGTCGTCCTTCTAAATATTCAATGAGTGGTAACAGCTTGGGGTCACTGCGCTGCTCCCATGCAATAGTGGCCGTGTTGACAACTCCCAAAAATGCCGCGTCGATGTTTTCGTCATCACAAGCGACAGTCTCCACTGGCGACGGTGAGAGACAGTCGGCGTCGGTGTGCCGCTTCCCAGATTTGTAGACGATGGTCTTGTCGAACTCTTGAAGCCTTAGGCTCCAGCGCGCCAAACGGCCAGATGGATCTTTAAGGTTGGTGAGCCAGCACAAAGAGTGATGGTCGCTAACAACCTTGAAGGAGCGGCCGTATAAATATGGACGAAATTTGATGACCGCCCACACCGTGGCGAGACACTCCTTCTCGGTAGTCAAGTAGTTCTCCTCCGTGCGAGAGAGAGTTCTGCTGGCGTAGGCTATTACTCTTTCACAGCTGTCTTGCCACTGCACCAGAACGGCACCCAGATCTACATTGCTGGCGTCAGTATGAAGTGCTGTAGGGGCTTCCTGGTCGAAGTGTGCGAGGACTGGAGGTATTTGCAGGCATTGTCGTAGTTCATTGAATGCCATTTGCTGTTGTTCACCTCAAAAGAAGGGGACGTCCTCACGTGTGAGTCATGTCAACGGCGCCGCAATAGACGAAAAGTCCTCGATAAATCGCCGGTAATAGGCCCACAACCCTAAGAAGCGTCTCACGGCCTTTTTATCGTGTGGTGCAGGAAATTGCGCTACGGCGTCTAGTTTGGCCGGGTCGGGTCGAACACCCTCGTCACTGACGACATGGCCTAGGAAGCTGAGTTCGTTAAAACCAAAATGACATTTTTCCGGTTTTAAAGAAAGGCCGGCCGAATGTATGGCTTGGAGTACGGTGAATAAACGGCTGAGATGTTCCTCGAATGTTGCTGAGAATACAATAGACCAAGCATGTTTGCCACTTCAGGCATGATAGTACGGTGTCCATGAGACGCTGAAAAGTGGCTAGCGCCGAGCACAACCCAAAAGGAAGCACCTTAAATTCGTATAGACTATCGGGCGTCACGAAGGCCGTTTTTTCACGATCTCTCTTGTTGACTTCTATCTGCCAGTAGCCGCTTCGGAGGTCCATTGAAGAGAAATAGCGCGCATGACGCAGCCGATCGAGTGAATCGTCTATGCGGGGCAGTGGATAGACGTCTTTCTTTGTGACTTGGTTCAACTTGCGATAATCAATGCAGAAGCGCAAGCTGCCGTCTTTTTTCTTGACCAAAAACCACGGGGGACGCCCAAGGACTTTTCGAAGGTTGTATGACGTCATCCGCGAGCATCTATTGTACTTGCTTCTGAATCTCCTCGCGCTCTTTCGGAGCCACACGGTAGGGGTTCTGCCGAAACGGTCGCGTGTTGTCTTCAGTAATGATGCGGTGCTTGGTCAATGGTGTTTGCTGGACCGTTGACGTACGCGAAAAGCAGTTTTCGAATTGGTGTATAAGTTCGAGCAGGCACTTCCTATCAGAGGGCGGTAGCGTAGAGCAGAAGTCCACCGACAAAGTTGTCGAGGCGGGGACAGCCGCGTCATCTGGTTGCAAGGCAAAATAATCTCCGCTTGGTCTACATCGTCGTAGTAGGCAATTGCGGTACCCTTCCGGATTTGACGGCGCTCGTAGCTGAAGTTCATGAGGAGCACTTCTGCCTGCCCATCAGTAAGCGCCAGGACGCCCCTCGCGATGGAAATGCCTTGCGTGAACAAAGGAGCGACTATGTGCTCCGCTATCTTATTCTTATAATAAAGCAAGGACACCCACTGGACACCGACACAAGGCAGCAGGATCTCGGTGGGAGTGTCACATCGTCGGCTATTCGCAAACGGCCGCGTGGCTCTTCGCTGCTGTTGTCGGCATACGGATGTGCGCAAAACATCACCATACGTTGAGGGATGTTGATAACAGCGCCATGATCTTGAAGAAAATCCATTCCCAAAATTAACTCTTTACAGCAGTCTGGCAACAGGTCGAAAGTGGCCACGAAGCTAGAATCCCCGATGCGAAGTCTAGTGGTGCATTTACCCGTGGGATTCGTCAGCTGACCACCAGCACTCCTTATGTGCGGCCCTGTCCACGGTGTCTTGACCTTTCTTAGGCGGTCGGCGAGCTCTTGTCGCATGATTGAGAAGTCGGTGCCAGTGTCGACCAGTGCTGTAACGTGATGTCCGTCAATAAGAACGCTCAGATCGGCACGTACAACTTCATCGGCATTAGTATTCGTCGTCGTATTCGTCGTCGTTGTCGTCATACCTTCTTGCGATGATTAAGGGAACTTTTCAGTGTCTCGACGATTGGCAACCTTGCCCCCCAAGGTCGCATCAGTTAGTTTCCCCGGCGCGGGCTAGAGGAACGGCCTCTGGTGACGTCCGCGTAACTCTGAGGGAAGTCACGGTGACGCGCAGGTGATAGAGATCGCCAGCGACGCGGTGGGGTTGCTTGGGCAGGCGATAGTTGATCGGCATCGTGGGCACGACGGTCTTCGGAGTGGAAAGAAGAGGGACGAGAAAAGTTCCCGAACCCGGAATCGCCATGACGGCAATAGCGGGCATTGTGACCGGGTTCTCCGCAGCGGAAGCAAATAGGTCGAAGGTCGACCATGCGCCATAAGTCAGTTCGGCGAACTGGTGGTCGTCTCATAGAATCCCGTTGCCACCAAGGTACGGCAGCGGGTCGTGCCTGGAAGGGTGGCGCCACAAATGTCGGTGGAGGGCGACGGACCACATCAGCGTAGCTCGCTGGATGTGGCTCAGGACTTAGTGCGGGTGGTGTAATGGCTTGCCTCAACTCCTGGCGGACGATTTGGGCCACAGATGTGACTGGCGATTGGGCAAGGGGAACGGAGAGGGCCCGAAGTTCCTCATGCAGTATTTTCCTAATCATTTGTTGCAGGGAACTTTCGCATACGGCAGTGTTCTGAGCTGCAGCACTTACTGCCGTGTGGTTCTGCAGGCGGTCAAAGTGTCGGCGTCGTTGTTGCAGTGCGCGCTCGATGACAGTCGCCTCTCTTATGAATTCATCTACTGTTGTAGGTGGATTTCGTACGAGGCCCGCAAACACTGGTTCTTTGACACCCTGCATTAGGCGACGCACCTTATTCGCCTCGGGCATGTCAGGGTCAGCTCGTCGAAACAGACGAATCATACCCTCTGCGTACATGGCGGCTGTTTCATGTGGTTTTTGCACGCGGGCCTCAATCACTTGCTGTGCGTGATCCCGTCGGTCCGAGTTCAAAAATGTAGCGAGGAGCTTTCAACGGAAGTCTTCCCAAGATTGGAATGTAGCCTCGCGGTTCTCATACCACGTGCGAGCGCTATCTTCTAGTGCGAAATAGGCACGGCCAAGTTTGTGCTGTTCGCTCCAGTGGTTGGATACAGCAACCCGTTCGAACTGTTCGAGCCAGTCCTCGACACCCTCGTACTCTTCCCCACGGAAAACTTCAGGAACGCGAGGATGTTCAAGAGTCACCTGCGAGGGAAGAGTGGTCTGCGATGGCGGGATAACCGTGGATGTCGAAGGAGCTGCCATGCTGGAAAGAGGCGGAACAGGTGTGGACTCGGGATTTAGGCCTAGTAGGCACCGACTGAATCGGTGCACTGGAGTCGTGACGAGGGGCTGAGTCTCTGGACTGGGTGAACGGGTCCGAGCAAGACTGCCCTGCATCAGGTTGTAGGCTCCAGCACCTCCACCAGTGTCACGACGTCAAAACAGAGGTCTTGCCGCAGAGATTGAGACACCAGAAGCAGGTCGGTTCTTTTAATAGAACGTGCAAGAGAGTTCTTTTTCATCCATTTCCTTGTACTTCATGGCACATGCACAACTGCCATTGTCTTTCTTTCTGACAAGCACGTGTTAATATTACTATAGCGAAAGGTTATGGAAGCATTCTAACTGTGACCCGTGGCATTTTTATGTAAGATGATATGCATCTGCTTGCATCACTGGAGTAAAGCAGTTCTGGCTAAAATGTAGTTTGTTTTTTAGTTGTTGTTAGTGTGTTTTCATTCGATGTAGCTACTTCATAGCTTCAATGAACTGGCACACTGTATGACATTACATGTTACTGCGTAATCATTGAATAACACTTGTATGAATTTTATGCTGTAACATATGCCAGAACTAGTGAAGGGAACTTGGATCCTCATCAGGTGTATTGAAAATGCATTTGCCCAATTTCCCCAGACTGCTGTGTTTGCTGTACGCTGGAAAAAAGGTTTTTTTTTTGTTGTTTGTTGTTGCAGATGCAGACACGGCAACTTATCTGTGACCTTGTGGCCAGTGTCAGGCAGCTGTGTCAAGAGACAAGAATCTTTGCCTCTGAGAAGCTCGAAGAAGCGGTAAGAAGAAGCCCTGCTATTTTTGTTCAAATGAGGTGTTACAATGATGCATTGCTGTTGATCATTTTAGCGACACACTTGCACGCCAGCCTGAGTGGTGGGTGGGCATGCACTGATCTATTCTTATACACTCAAACCTCAATGTTACGAATGGGGATATAACGAAATATTCGTTATAATCAAGGAAATGAAGAATAGTCTTGCTATAAATATGGGTTTAGGAATACACTTTATAATGAATTTTTGATACGGCAAACTTATTTTCGTGTAAGATGCAACTTCGTTATAATGAGGTTTGAGTGTAATTGTTTTATGACATTTGGCACAAAGAGCTTTTCTTAATCTATCTAATTGAGTAGATCAGTTCTCAATAAAGATGGCTACAGAGGCCTAGGGGTATTTTGTAATTTTATGAAATTAAACACATAGGCCATGGTATGTAGAAGCAGTAATAACAATATCTTGTTGTTTTGCGACGCTCTGGAATTCAGAAGCCAAGGATCAACTTCCAAGTGTCAACTAAAATTTGTGCTCCTTAATCAGTGAACCTGTGCCCCGCAAAGCAGGGTGACGCTTACAGTGCTACAATAGCCACAAACATGGTCATTGCATGGTGCATTGATGATAAGCTGCCCTAGGAATCAAATGTGGTGGCATTTATACATGCATCATCATACATTCTATCATTATTACTGGTGTTGGCATAACTTACACAATTAACTCAACTCACTCGCATTGCATGCGCAATCTTGAGAAGGTCCTAGTACATTTAGCTCAGGCCTGCTCCGAGTTTTAGCTCATGTAAAGTTTTGCCAGTGAAACTCGGTTTCAGTGTAAAGTAAAACAAGTACACATGTCAATATAAAATAAAGCTTTAATTGTTGGTATAGCACTCTGTTTTGTTGGTGTTTACTAGCTGATGGCAATCAAATAACTATGCTTTCCAAGTTTTGAGCACTGCGGTTGCCACAGTTTTTGTTGTACCTCGTGTATAATAATGTTTTTGGATCAGTGCACATCCTGGTTGCATATATTGTTTAATTCCTTTCTTGTGATGTGTTACAATCAGCGGGTGATATGACGGACAGGGGTGGCATCGTGCATGTCACTTTAGAGCAAGAAGGGCATTAGAGCTTTAGAGCATTTTCTTCACAGTTCATGGAATTGTTGCGACGGATAATTCTTTGAAATAATTTTTTATGCCATAGACAGGCAGGTGAGAATATTTTCTCACGAGGTCAAGGCATGGTAATAAGGATCGCAGGTGAGCTTACATTATGTAGTGCAATGTGTGTCAATACAAGCACTATAACACTCTACACACAAGAGTAAACTGCATGCCCATGTGTACCTGACCCGATTCTACTCTACCTTTTCTCTCCTAAGGTTTAAAAATAAAAAAAAAGGCAAAGCTTGCCTTATCAAGCCGCACAATGCTTGAATCGGCTAAACTCCAAGTTGTGTCTAGGCTTTAGCTAGGTGATGCTTGGTTGTTTCTACATTGCTTCTCTGCACAAAGAGGTTCCAGTTAAACCACAGACAGTCACTCGATTGTTACTTTGGAGAAGGAAACACGTGCCGAAACCAAGCATTCGCTCCTCTCATAGATCTATGGGTTTGTCATCAGTTAGCCTAAGCTTTCTATTGCTTTGGGGTCTCCTCACAGCCATCGTTGCCTTTCTCATTCTCTTTTATTTTTTCAATGTATGTGCTAGGGAGTCTTGGCTCACTGCTGTCACTGTTCAAAGGATTTATTTTCATTTCTATAATTATAGTGTCTTGACGGCCTTGTGTTTGACCGGTTTAGCGTCAATCTTTTACTACAAGATTTTTCATCTTCTGTTAGTTTCTCTTTTGTTTTTGACTATTTGCTCCCTCCAATTATTGTGCTCTACTCTTTTTTTTTTCTCTTTGGCAAAAATAAATGCTGAAATCTTGTTTTCTCTTCTGGGCTCTGTACTTTATGTCACACAGTTGGTTCTTTATTGCTACTGTAAGGATCCACTTCATTATATTGTAGTGTGCACTTATACCGCAGGATTACTGGCCACTAGCGTGGGTCCTGTCTGAGCGAGCCACAGGGCATGCGTTAATTGTCACCATGGCGAGAACACAGTACTGCTTAAGTTCGCGACACTTTATTGCCTGCGGCAACACCGAAACGCAGTACAGAGCCCGTTGCAAAGGCGCGGCGGGAAACCAAATGGGCTTATCCACGCCACGAGCAAGAAGTACTACACAGGATGCCGCGAGCACGTCTTGGTGGTAAAAGTGATTCACGGAGACACCAAGACCAACGCCGGGTTGCTCGAGCGAGGGCAAAGGCACTCGCGTTGGCTTCAGAGAGATACGGGTCGGCGTAGCTTGGTCATGCACTAGGACACCGTACCGCCCTTCAGCCTAGCGTTCCCAAGGGAGACGACATAAGGTAAGCGTTCGCCCCGGGTGCAAGGTGCTGTTGGCGAAGTCCCAACGCGCCCCAAACAAAGGGAGCCGGCGGACGGAAAAGAAAAGCATGCTTACCCCCCATGTCGTGCCCGGAGAGGTCTCTCTCACTTCCGACGCGCACAAGCGAAACCTATCGGGAGACTCTGCGCGCAGCGCCACAGTCGACATCTGCTACCGGGTGAGAGGGGTTAATACGTCACTTCCCGCTCCCCCAGTGCGGAAGACCGCAGGAAGAGAGGAAGAGTCATGTCAGGACATGATAACGCAGAAAAGGCGGCAAAGCCCACGCAAAGGCAGTGGGCTAGCCTCAATTCCACAGTATGGACTTCAAATACTCTTTGCCCCGCTGGTGTAATGCCCCATTAAGGGTCAGTTAATAGTGATTAATATGATGATAGGTCTTAAGATGTCTGCCGCCACAGAAAAAGTAAACACTGTATGAAGATAGCAAGCCAATATTCCATTTCCTGTAATATACGCAGTGGCTTAGTGTTGTAACACTGAACTGCTGATAAAACCTACGAAATGGCAACCTGCTTCTCATTCATCTTTTGGGCAGAAGCTGCCCCCGCAGCTGGAAGAAAAGTTGATTTCTACAACTGCCACTGTCGAAGAAGAGCTGCGCAAGTGCTTCGACTTGCAAAACACAGGAGACGATGAGGTGAGGCTTATGCTTTTGTCTACTACACTGTGGCTCTGTCTTATAGAAGTTTGTTGAACACTCTCTTCTCTGTTTAGGACTGCAGCATCAAAAGCACAGGTTTGCGTGCCTTATATATGATACGTACAGGAAGTGCATGTATCCAACAAGCATCATTAATGTTGAATGTAAACATTAGACAGAAGTCTATCTAGCTGGGTTGGTAAACTGAGGAAAACTATGTTATTCGGTTAGAGCCGGTCCCCCCTGGCTGAAACGTAGGAAAAGTAAAAAGTTTTCGTTTTGCCCGTCCTCTACTTCTTGCTATATATATCCGTGTGTGTCGCGTATTGCTAACTGGATAATATACAGTTGTGGTGGACAAATGAAATACCAAAGCTTGTACTTAACCAAAATGTGTTATTTCACTGAGACAAGTACATGTAGTGACGATTTTGGATTGCACGCTCAATATCGTTTGCAGCTGCATATTTGCTGGTACGAGATGGCACTGTCCAGATATCACTACAGAAACCCAGTATTCTGTTTTGTAGTTTCCTGTTTGTATTTCATTTGTTTGTGACTGTAGTTAAATAGTATGCACACTACTAAGCTTCATATAAGCTACAAAAGCGGCATTACAAGTTGGAAACTACCAGTGAATTATTCATAAGTCTGAAACAATGCTGAAATACATCTTAGAAATCGAGTTGCATATAGATCCATTGCTTGATCCACATGCATTGCTCTTGCTCTGTTGCAGTCCTAAAAAATGGGCAAGAGGTTGCAGGATAGATAGTCCTGTCAGTTGCACATGGGACTATGAGTTGTACATGTGTGTGCCTTAATAGGAAAACAGTTCAAGCGTATCTCGACTGACAGTATTTGGTCTTGTGGTTCTAGCTCATATTTTTTAGTGTTAAAAGACGGTCGCAATTTATGAATTACTTCATTTCTGGCTGTGTGCTTTCTATTCTGAAAGTGCGGCTGCTCTCTGTGCTTTGCTTTTGTCCATCCTAAATGCTCATTGCATGTTTCAACGTGAGGGCTGCTTTGCCAATTACTTCTTTTTCTAAGCTGCTTGTTTCCTTGAAGCAGAGTGGCTTTTTTTGTTTTTCCCCTGCTCTGACGCCTGCATGGCATGAACTTTGCCAATTTTTAGGACGTTACTGTTTATAAAAAGGACTTTTTCTTTCTTCTTTTTTTAATTTTTCTCTCTACGAGGTATGCTGTACCACAGAAAAAGTAAATTATCAGTCATGGTATACTAGTGAGAAAACTTGTATAAAGAGAATCATTTCGTGGGATTAGATACGAAACCTTCACAACGGTACATTCTTACAAAACCACCGTGTTTGTCCTGTGTTCTTGAAAGCAATAGTTAGCTCACAGAACAAGGTTCAGTTCCTGATGTGTATATAATATATCATTAAGGCAAACTCCACTGTTTTGATGCTTTAAAATATGCGTTTGAGCGTATCAGTTCAAAAAGAAATGAAAAAGCCAAGTTCCTCGCTGAAAGGAGGACCTTGAACTTAAAATATATCATTTATTTCTGCATATATTTTAGTGAAACCTTCTTTAGATATTGTTTTCTGCAGAGAAAATAACTTCCAAGAGTTTTTTTTAAATTAGTTTCTTTCATAGCTTGCAGAAGGTGAGCTATTTGCTAAACTATAGGTATTGTAATAAGCATTGATGTAAAAATAGTAACGTGGGATTATCAAAAGAGTTTTTCAGCCAAAGTTATAACCTGCCAAACCTAAGTAAGAAGCCATAGTAACACCAAGAACAAGTTATCACTTTTTGAAAATTTCTGCAGTAATATTTATTCATAGACCTACTGCACCCTGTCTAGCTTACTGAATAGAAAAAGACGGGGTTGTGACAATGAAGAGGTAGGCCAGGTTGTTTTGCTCTTGCAGTTGTATATTGCCCCACTTCCTCTTGCATTGCAGCTTTCGATATCTGATCCACCATCATCGTGTTGCTTTCGATTGGCAGCCCACAGCAGGCTGTCTGTTCCAAGACAGCCTGTCATCAACGCACTGAGGCCCCAGGGCATCCTAACATCCACTGCAGTTTTCTTATCCCAGCTTTTGCCTTATGACCCTGCAAGCACTGTGTAAGCGAAAGCGGGGACGACTTCTGGCTCAAATCATCATGGCCTTGTTGTTGCACACTTCATAACTATAGATAGCATATACCTGGCTGTGAGCTAAGTGCAGGTAAACTTGATCCAGCTATGGAAATGTCTATGGCAGGTAACGCTATGTGTGCTATTGCTTTCATCTCCTGATCAGGCTCACACATCAGTATATAATACATTACTATAACATGCGTGTTATCATTGAATCTCATTGGCTTCACAGTGTGTGAGTGCACTTGATAGGGCCATTGAAGCTGATTGATGTCTCACTGAACAAAACTTGTATGATGCACCCATCAATCAAGCAGTTATATTTAGGAACTCATCCACAGTGATGTGCATTTATATGTAGTGTGCTGTCATGTCGATCCAAAGTGGTTGATGCTAGTGGCATATGTTGCTGTAATTCACATTTAGTGCAAATTTTATCCACTTCAATTCATTTGCTATCCAAACAACAATTCAATGCACTCTATATGATTTAAACAGTGCAAAAGCCTATAGATTCATTGATTAGTACCTGATTAGTTCATTTAATTCTGTACTACATAATTCTGATAGCTTGTCACATGGCATTCAGGCATTAAAACCATTTAACAAGTTAATAAAATATGTGCTTACAAAGCTTTAAAGTAATTAAATTTATGACAATTGAGTTGTGGGTGGTCAATCCTAGGTATTCCAGAAATGGATACAGATATCCACTGTCTCAGTGTTAAAGTGCACTTGGAAATTCCAATTAGTACCTCAACATTTAATGTAATTAATTTTATATCATACATTGCATCTCCAAGTGTGCTCCTCGTAACTGCATGTGTCATCAAAAATATTTATGCTGATAAAATTGGCAATGTTGTGGCTGTAAAACTGTCTACCTGAGCAGTCAGGATTTTACTTGTGTTCCAAAAATATCATTGTAAACCTTTTTTAGTAACCTTCACCTAATGAAAGTTAGGTAATCAGGTGAAGAATATTAATAGCGGAGGAGACTAGGTGCTGAGTCACACTAGTTGTTGCCATTTGTTATTGGAAAGAGGGCCACCTTGCGCGAGAAGCCTTCCGCTCCAATATAGGCGTCTCACAAGTAGGTGTGGATATAAAAGAAGTGGTAATAGTTAGGTTTTATATTTTCGTTTGCGAGAAACGGATTGCTCATTTTTCGCTTTTTGCTATCTGAAGGATCTGTCTGAAGCATTGAGAGATGCCAGATAAGCTTTGAACAGGCATATTTTGCATTTCGAATTATCTATGTGTATTCAGCAGCTCGGCCTTCAAGCTCAGTGTACATGGGTTTTTCAGCAAATGAGTTTAACTTGCTAACCTTTACGTAGCGTCATCAGAGCATATTTGACAACCAAAACTGCTGCACGCATTTTGTTCCACATATTCAAGTAAAGCCTTTGTGAATGAGGTGGACACGTCTCATTTTGGTAACGATGTCGCATTCATTCTTTCTTAACGAGGGAGGGAATCGAGGAATGCTCAGGGTGCTTCAGATGATGCGAAAGTGGTTGGAAGGAAGAATAGAGTGAGAAGAGAGCAGCACATTGCTTGGGCTTAGAGTCAATAGAAGGAATAAAAAAAAGAAGAAAGGAAATGAAGATCGCAGTTCAACACTCATGATGTGCCTTCTCGGGGCATCCTGTGGAGTTTATGGCTGGGACACCGGTAACTGCACCGCTATTAGTGCCTGTTTCTTACCTTTTATACAACATAGCTGTTATGATAGAGGTTTGCCATGTGTGGTAGATATAAAATTGTTATCATTATCATAAACCAGCATGCATCCTTCTTCTCATCATCTATATCGCCGCCTTCCTCTTCTTTCTCTTCTGCTTCACTCTCTGAACATGTGTGCCGATTTCGCTGATATGGGATGAAATAACTCTGTTGGGCGAGAAAATGAGTACAGAGAGATAGAGAGAAAATTTCTGGAAAAAAATTTATTTTCAAGATTTCAACTTACACACTCGCAAACCAAAGGCAGGCGTCATAACCACTCAGCTAATCAAGCAAGCTTGCAAAGCATATCATAGCTTTGCATAGCATTTTGTATAGCAAGGAGTGAAGGCTTGTTCACACTGAAGGCGAGGCGGCCAAAGCAACCAGGCGGCAACGCAGAAAGCGGGAAAATCTTCCTCTCCAGGCGGCGAAAGCGGGAGAAAAACCAGGTGGCAAGAGCGATCGCTCTCAAAGCAATTTTTCGCCGCCTGCTGAGGCTCGCCGCTTTGCCCCGTAGCCAATCGAAATGCCACGCGGTGGAGGTGCGGCGATGTACCTTTGGGAGCAGCATTGCCACATCACAGGGACACGCACGCAAAAGCGCGAGATGCCCGCCTCTTCTACCGCGCGGCTTGCTGATCGAGGCTATGCGCTCTGAACAGGTTCACCTACTCGCCGCTTTGCCGTGCCGCCTTCGGTGTGAATGAGCCTTGAGAAAGGGTAGTGAAGGCGAGGGAAAAGAGGGGAGAATGAGTGATGAGGGAAAGAGGCACAGAAAGAAAAAGAGGTGTAGACAAAAAGCAAGGGAGTGAACAGAGTTAAATGTATAAGACAAGAGAAAGAAAGAACGAAATGCATTGAAGAAAATGGGGAAAGGTAGAAATCAGAGAATGACTACTGAGAGAAAGGAAAAGAAATACATGAAAGGAGGAAGAAAAGCTGAGAAAGGAAAGAAAAAATAAAAGGTTAAAACTGGCAATGAAATATAGATAAAAAGGTGCTGACTCAAAAAAAATATAAGGAGATCAAGCATAGCCTTGCAGCACATGCCATGCAGCACATGCCATTTTCTAAGACCTATGGAAAGTGTGTACAACACTCAGGCACACACAATTAGCCATTGGGCATCATGCCACTTCTAGTGAAAATTTTCTTTTACGCACTTATACAGTTTGAATACTTCATCTTGCTCATGGTTCATTCAACTCAACTGCAGTAGACTTATACTGTGAATCTGGAAGCTGACCTGTGATCAGGCTGGTTGTCAGCAGTTATGCTAGAAGGACAGTGAGTCGATTGTTTTGCTCAATTTCGACACTGCGACAACCTAGTCTCCCAGAGTGTGAGAAAGCTTTGAATGTGAGTTAAAATTACCTGCTCTAATCTGAAAAAGTTAAAAATGTACTGCATTTCACTCAGGCTTTTGATATAAATCGACTTCGAATCGCCTTTGACAAAATATGTTTAACATTGCTGTGAAAGCTTTAGCTCGACATCTGCTGTATAACTGAATGAAGCAGGCAACGTACGTTAAGCAACTTCATTGTTCGGCCTTTGGCTGAAGTCTGTCTTCTACCCTGAAATATGCCTCCCACACCCCATACTGCTCTAGGTGAGGATTTCAATCATCATTGTGTTTCCTTTGCATGGCATGTGTTGCCTGTCAGCTGCACTCTTGCTGCCTGCATTATGTGCCTTCGCTACCCACAGTGCTTGGGACTGTGTGCACTTCATTGGTGTCTGTTTTATCACCTCGGTAAAATGAGCAGCGGTGTGATGACCTGAGCCACTGTTTTGTTTAGATCGGAATGTAGTGCTTTCAGATCGCAATGTATGGCCAAGTTGCATCTGACTTGAGGATATTTTTATTTTTTGCAACGCGTGTTTCATGCACGTAGCAATTCTTTATTTATTCTCATCTCGTTTGATCATCTATTATCTTTGCATTGAAATTAAACATATAACTATAATACTGGCCTGTACAAGTACGGCACACATTCATTTTAGTTGCCAAATTTATCTTAAAGCCAGGCCTCACTGTAGTGTGAGCTATGGGAGAGAGCCTAGTGGAGTGCAATCGAAGGTTGCACGCGTGAATTAACATGGCATCCTACTACTTGCTGTCATTCCTCATGCATCAGCAAGAGCATAAGCGGCCTCGGAGTCTGTTCAAGCTGAAACTGAAGCGTTCCAAGGCAACTGCTTCGTCTTCGTCATCCTCGACATCGGTGACTCAGCCACCTGCCAGGAGAGAGCCATCTCTCTCAATCAGTAGTGGAGGCGGAACGACCGATGATGGCTCAGCAGGACCCATAGGCCTAGCTTCATGCTCTAGCGGGGCCCACTGCAGCACACCGGAGTCTGCTCCTCCCCCACTCTCCAAGTCGCCAGCAAAGTCGCCGGCAAAGTTGTCGCAGCACGGATCTCGAGAAAGGTTGGCTGCCATGGGTCCAGGAGTGTCCTCCTGGTCAGCAGAGCAAGTGGCGAGCTGGCTGGCCGAGATCCAAATGCGAGAGTACCAGGAGCACTTTTTGCGGCACGACATTCGTGGCCCCGAACTGCTCAGCCTGGAGAGACGGGACCTCAAGGTACGCGCTCTTATCACTCCTCATTTAGCTGCTTGCAGGGAAGCAAAGGTAGTGGCATTTTGCGCTACATGGGCATTATGCCCATGCAGACAGACAGAGGGGCAGAGTAGGAACTCATTTATACATTCCTATTTGGAACAGTGTCTCAGTGTCAACATTTGAAGTATTGTTATCAAATGAATCTGTGCAAATTTTCGTGAGTTGATATTGTACGTTTTATTGAACAGTATGTTTTTTTCCCATGTCTTCTTTTTTAATCAAGAACATTGAACAAGGTGTGCGTGTGTGTGTGAGCATGCGTGTGTACATGCATGCACTGATAATGCATTTCCCAATTTTGAGTGTCATTAAGTAAAATACTATAACCTTTGTATGCTAATGAAGGGACACTAATAAGTTCATCGCTGTTGTTGGCAACAAAAATTATTCTTACAAAGAATCCTTCATATATAATGGCGACCTGTAGGTATTTTGATAGCAAATTAGCCTCACAGTGGAACAATGTGAGGTTGTACAATGATGAGGAAAAATATAGACTCGCATGGTGCTGTCAGTTATATATATTTTAATTGGCATAGCTAGAGTAAACCTTCACTTCAGGTCGATACTAGCATGTGCACTTGATCTCCATAAATTTTTGTTTACGCCTTTCTACTTCTTACAATTTTTGCTCGCATTGTTCTACAATTATATTGGCCATTCGATAGTACAGACCTGTAGCACTGTGCAACATTTTCTCACACATCATTATCTGTCCTCAAAATTGTGCATGTCCTTAATTTTGCCCAGTCATTTGGTCTAGTCACTCTTGCCTGTTACATTTAGCAGGCTCCCTTCCTAAAGTCTCTCGTGAATTGTGATCTTGCAGGAGCTCGGGATCACCAAGGTCGGCCACATCAAGCGAATTCTTCAGGCAGTGGCAGACCTTAAAAAGCTCTAGTATTGAGCCGAAGCATCAGTCACAAAGGAAGCTTGGGAAAAATCGTGCTCATTGGTACCAAATACCAGCTGCCAAAACAATGGGACCACAACCAAGGACGGGATGTTGCGGCCTGATGACAATCAAGCTCGTGCTGCGTGTGCTGAATAGTTAAGTTCAGCAAATGACATTCCATCATACATTGTGCTAGTCACAACACAGGGCCATTTTAGGTAACCGTAGTCTGACAACATTGAATGAGCGTGCTTGGGCCGCTCCAGTTATTCTTTACACTGTGCTCCGCTGCCATGTGTTGACCCTTCTGCCAGAAGTGACACAGTTGCAAGCATTTCGTTCTATGCGAATAGCAAATAAGACTGTTGGCCAGTAACTTTCATTCCACTGTGAATGCTGGAGCTCACCATTACACAGTGATTTACGTTGTACAGCATTATACAGAGCACACTACAGTTACTAGACTGACTAGTTCGACCTGCTGCAAATGACAAGTTTTTAACCATGTGGCATACTAGTAGAGTCTTAGTGGAGCAGTTTCAAAGCAGTGGTTGCCAGGGGTTTGTCTTGTGGGAAGCCATGATGTTACTGTAATTTTTTTATCTTTTTATATACACATTTTCAAATGCACCTCGTACGTCTTCGTAACCATCAGTATTGGATTGCACTCGAAGCTGAATGTGTGTATATATCGCTACATCTTTGCGTGTGCTCGAATACGGGCGTTGCAATTTTTGTGCTCGAGACTGCACGTGTCGTGTTGTTTTTTTCCCTTTGCACTAATCCACTACTTATTTTTTCTTAGTGTGCAGTGAAGGTCACATTTAATAAGATTGCATGCTCAATGTTCCAAGCTGTAATGTCCCTGATACTACATAAGACTTGCGTCTAAAGAGAGCAGAAAGTGTGAGGGTTTTATTACCTGCAATGTCTGCCCTTGTATTGAAATGGTCGGTGTCGGAAAATCCGTGACTTGGTTGCCATGCAAAGCCTTCATTGGAGCCAAAAGCTGTTCAGGCATATGCTACAGTGCATGCTAAAGAACAAGTCGCCAGTTTGTTTTACATGAGTTTTGCTGAGTTTATCTTGTATTTCTCCTTTCTTTTTTAATTCAGAAGTGTTCTGGTCTCTAAATCATAACTCTCAAACATCTCCTCTCCTGAATGAACCGTAACAGTAGCTATTCTATTTCAACACTGCCCCTTCAAAAACTTGCTAGAGCTCACCGAACCTCAGAGCTTAGGAGATCAGCTATTAAAGGCCTGGTAAATATAGAGGCCATTTCTTTTTCACTATAGACCCTCTGTGGTTGCTTACGTTGGCATTCTGTGATGACATCATTGATACTTGCAATGGCTTATTACTATTACTGGCTTCTTCCCTTTTCATAGAAATACATGAGACCAAGAAGTTTTTAAATTGATTTATTATGACAGACGGAAGTCATGAAGGGCCCATTTTGTAAAAAACCTTGCTCTTATACGTTTAGGGTAGCTTTCAAAAGGAGGTAACAGCCTGAAAGTTTCAAACGAAGTAATTTTTGCTAAAAGTAGAAGTCTGCAGCTGCAGAAGCCATTGCAACAGCCTCAGAGGAACTGTTGCCGATGGCTGCGGATGGGTGGCAACATGAAGGAGACATAAAGGTGAGGAAAGAGGAAGTTAGGCACGAACAGTGGAATTAAACATGGAGTTCTTGGTGTAGGGCTCGGGTTCGTTATTATGCAACATTCCTTCTGGCGCCGAAACCCGGGACAGAAGGAATGTTGCATAATGGCGAACCTGAGCCCTACCACTGCTTGTGCCTAACTTCGTCTTTCTTCTCCTCTAAGTCTCCTTCATGTTGCCACCAGTCTGCGATCATTGGCAGTGGGAACATCAGTTGAGATGCCTTTTAAAGGCACCTCGCTTGTATCTACAAAGGCTAACAATGTGACCATTTCTTCAACAGCTGCTAAATGCGGGATGCAGCAACTGTTTCAAAAGCATTTAACCTTGTAGCGATATGCAGTAGCAGGTGGCACTGACAGATATGCCAGCAGTTCTTGTGAAAGCACGCTTGAAGGGGGTCTCTGTATGAAGGCCTGTTGAATAGAGTTCCAGAGTGAAATGAAGCTTTGCAGGGCAGGCAACATTAGGATTTTGCAAACTGCAAAATGTTGATCAACTGAACAATATTACCAGATGAATTTCAGGATGCTTTTGCTTGAAGGGACACCAAAAGAGAAAAACGATTTTTCTCATAATGGTAAGTTACAGTTTCACATTACCAAAAACAGCCCTCTTACCATGTGGAGACACGGCAAGCGAGAAAATGTGCAAAAAAAAAAATGTAGGTGGCGACGCCACCATGAAATTTCTGCACCAATTTCCGTGACTTCATAAGGTCAGGCGGCCTTTGCTGAGGCCTACATAGTTCTTAATCGGTAAAAATGAAGTACATTGTCCTTTGAAGGGGCCATTAATTTAACATACCATGTTTTAAGAAATTTTATTGAGCAAATCACACCAAATAACAAAATATACACTTTGAAAACTGTGATGTTGCAAGCGAATATTTCAGCACGAATTTTAAGTGACATTGTCTTTGATTTTCTCCTCTATTAGTAAACATATGATGGCAAAATAACGACTTGAGAGTTTTCGGAGTACAATTTATCAATCTAAACTAAATCATTGTTTCACTTTTGTGTCCCTTTAAGATTCATGTGATGGCTGATCGTCGAAAACGGCTTACAGATAAATTATTTTCCTCAATGATGTAACTTATAAGCGAGTGTAAATTTAATTTTATTAGTCTGTTATGTGTACTATAAAGCAGTTTTTGGTTACAATATAGTTAGGTAGTCAAGTTGCAGCATTTCAACAAATGTTCAGCCTTCAACAGCTGTTCGGTGTATACTAATACACGGTATTGCATGTCTGCAGCCAGCTTTTGAAACCCCTGGTCGATAATTAAGCACACCACGTGTTTCTAGAGTGGCTTGACAAAAATTTGATGTGGCATACGAACAGTTGCTGCAGTTACAATGGAACCAATTACTACTTCAAGTTCGTGCAAACTTTATCACTGCAATATTATACTGTGCATGCTACACAGCTCCACCAAAGTTGTTTGAAACATTCTCCTGCTAAAAGCACATACCATATTTTCTCGCGTATAATCCATCCCTACATACAACCCACGCTCCTAACTTTAACTCTACAAAAAGAACAAAAAAATGCATGTAATCCCTGCATATAACTTGTTAAGCATATTTTTCCCGTTTTTATTGACATGAGTTATACGCAAGAAAATACGGTATTTTCATACATAGCCTCTGTAGTGCAGTATTTGCGTCACAGTGGTAGTATGCGCACCGCGAAAGCAAAACTCAATCACCTTTGCAGCCTTGCCCTTTGTGTAAGCACAGCAGACTGCACCTCCCGATGCACCTGTCGTGTTCTCACCGTCTCTCATGTACACCAACACTTTTGTACTTGCACACACGAGCAATACCATTTGTGCCAACCTGAACTCATGCCTCTGTTGTTTCGCCCGTCACTATGTGTAGTACCAGGCCCGAAACATCTCACTCACACATATGCATCTACCGATTATTGCTGCTGCCATGAGCAGACACTTCTCTGCAAGATACAGTGTTTTCATTACTTACATTATTTGTTTGGTTAGTCTCACCTGTTTTCATTTTGTGGGTTTGCATTGTGGAGCTTAGTGTCTTGTACGAGAGCTGTGCTCCTTGCAAGGGTGTCCTTGTGCAGAGGCATTCATGCGACTAAGCTTCATGGCAAATACAGTTTGGTAACATGGGTCAGCTAAGCAAACTCAATCACATCATAAAGAACATCGATTGGCCTCTTTTTTAAGAACAAAGGGCACGCAGTAGTGAGACTAATACACAATAAGCATCGTAGAATTTTTAATTTCACGTGAACTTCCTGTAGCTGTTGCTTACTCTAGGCACTTCACTTTTACCCAGGAACAGCTTACATGAGTTAGATGTTTAAAGCTTTGGGATTTTCGGCTTAAAATGCGCATCACTTTCAGCACCACGTATCTTGTTTAGTTACTTGGAGGTGTAAGAGCTCAGATGTCTATTGTTTTGCGTGACGTGTGACAAAGGCATATCATGTTGCAATCCTGCATTTGGCATTGCCCTATTCATTCAAGAGGCACTGTTCAGAAACAATGCTAGCAGGAGTGTAGAAGAGTTTTCATAAATGACCAAAATAATTACGTTTTGATGCAATTCTGCAATAATGACACCTACTGTGAACAGTGTGTATAAGCGCACTTGTCTTTACTGCTTTGAGTCAGCAGTCATGTCATGTCTATAGTGCAAATTACATGTTTCATTAATAAGCATTTTATTTTCCCCACTTCAAATTACAAGAGTGACAGATATTGTCAGCGAAAACTAGTAACAGTAGGCTCCACTTAAACAAAACTGGCTTAAATAAAATAGTGGTGAGAATCTGGTTGACAGCCCATATCTGATACTTCGATTAGTTGGTGTCAAGTTTTATGAACTTTGGTTAACAGTAAATTCAATCGAAGGCACCACCTTCTTCACCACTTGTGTAACGGAAAATTCCAACTAAATGCCCCTACCTTCCATTCAGTGAAAGATAAATCGACCAAGTTTAGCGGGGGTTCTCTCGCTCGGTTCCAGATCTTTCTTATGAACTTCTTTATTGAATCTGCATTATATTCACTCTTGTCGAGAGAATAAATATAGTAAATAAAATGAAGTATAAACGGTGCGAGAGCAGGAGGGGGTGCTTGCATGGTTATTGGTACATGGTATTTTTAATCTGCCAAAAAAGGAAAGGGATGCTTGCTTGGGTAGTGGCCCTTTTTCGGCATTTCATAGTAATAAACATATCGAGTTGTAGTGCCATAGATGATGGAAGTAAATGAAGTTCCACAGGCTTTTGCATGATATTTAATGCAAATTAGATGCTGAAGGTGCAGTGGTATTTTCCTTTATGGGCGGTAAAAGCGCACAAACTCACGGGACGAAGAGAAGGGACACAAACATTTTCCTCACAATGACTTTACTGGGCATATAATGAATCCCGAAGAAAAAAGAGTACACTGCAGTGTTCATAGCGTGCTGCAATCAGGCTGCCGTTGCTGCTTTGTGCACAATGCCAGGGCGATATGATACCCTTGCTATTTGCGAGCAGTGCTCAAGAAATAACTGGAAATATTGGTGATGTCCAAGTGTCACAGCTTGTACTATGATTTTACTAGCGGGTTCATAAATTTTTGGACTGGGTGACAAGAGGTGCAGTTGAGTCTATAGTGCTATGATGAAGGTGAAATGACCGTGCTTAATTGTTGGGAATCCATACACATAACAGCCTTGTAGAAAGAAGCTACAATAATAAAAGCGGAGCACTGGAAGATGTTTTTATTTTTCCACCACAGCAATATAATAACATTCCGATAGCTTTCAAGTAAGCAATTCATGCATGATCTTTTTGTATCCCTTGAATGAAATTTTGGAGTAAACAAAACACATTTTCAGGTCCCTGCTAGTTTTGTTTAAGCAGATATATTAATTTATATGTGGGGTTTAATGTCCCAAAACTACCATATGGTTGTGAGAGACGCCGTATTGGAGGGCTCCAGAAATTCCGACCACCTTGGGTTCTTTAATGGTTGTTTAAGCAGAGTCTACTGTAGTATTGAAGTTATAGAATGGTAATGCCATACATTAAACTTAAATTGCCCATTTTTGTCATTTTTCTGTTGTAATTTGCTTTTTTCTTTGTGGATATTATTCTTCAGCATAACTGCATTAATCTGTGATAGTGCAGTTGCAAAAGTAATTTTAGCCAAGTTACAAAAAGCTAAGTTACGAAGAGTGTGCTACCCAAGTTACAAAGGATGTGCTGTGCACTAGCTAGTGGAGGTCTTACAACAAGCATTAAATCTAAGCTGCTAATAAGCCAGCAAGTACAGGATAGAGGGATTGTACATAGCTTGGTATTTTCACCAAAGCTTGGTCATGTTTTTTTCTGTGAGTATAGCACAGACAGAATGTATAATTTTCTGCTGAACAGCCAGAGAAGTGGTGTAAATTTATCATTTCGATGATGTTTATTTATTGCCGTGCAAACTTGAAAGGAACTTTTAGGTAACGTTCTATACATGGGTGTCTTTCTGTAAAGGCATATATACCGTCACTTTGTGGGCGATTCATTTACAGTCAAACCCCTTTACAGTCAAACCCCAAATCTTTACAGTCAAACCCCAAAAAGAGGCACCAGTGTGCCTACAGTAAAATACGGGTTGATAAGGAAATGCATGCGAGGTACCCTGTTTATAAGAGACATCTCATATAAAAGACAAGAATTGTTGCCTGGAGCATGCCTCTTATAATGAGGTTCAACTGTATTATCTTACACATTTTTGCAACAGTATAAATACACACCTTTTGTCTCACTAGCTGACCTTTAAATCCCCGCAATCATGCTTGTACGTAGAGATTTCACTGCTCAGGGTTGTACTGCGCAGATATGACAAATGGTCATGATCAAAATGAAAGTCTCGCTGTTTGGAAGAACAGGTATAATTACAGTGTACCGTAACTATAAGCCTTGTTTATTACACTGCCTTTCAAATAATTACTGTCACTCGCTTTACTGTCTTAGTCATTCAGCTTTTATATGCGGTGAATGTAGATTAGGAGGAACTAGGACCATTTGTAACATAGATGATTGTAATGCACCGTACCTTGTCGGAAGCGCAGAAAGCTAAAGAGGAGTGCTGTGTGCCTAACAGCATTTTCTCTTCATTAGTAGGTGCACGTGTTGTGACCATGGTACAAAGGCAAGAAAACTCTTGCATAGCTTTTTATGTAGAAGGCCTCCTAACTGCAATCGGTGTACGTACAAAGGCAGTTTCAGCGGCTTCACTTGGCCTTGGAATTTGTGCCTTTATTGGGCAGTGACATTCTTGTATATCGAAATGCAACAAAGATATGTGGAAAGAAAAGAGAACAAAGTCCTCACAATCAATGATTCGTGAAGGACGATTGTGTTTTGTGGCCTGCTTTTGGATGATGGAATTATGTTTGAGTAGTTCTTTTTTCTAAATAAAAATGTTGCTGGTGGGATCTTACATCTGGAAGCTCTCTGTTCTTCCTTTGCATTTTTTTTTTCTTTTGGGTCTATCATGTTACAGGCTATTAAAATCCATGATCATGAGTTCATATGCTATGTATGTATCCTACTAAATTTTAGCTGCGCTTGTTCAATGAACAAGTTGTGCTGAAAGCATAATCAGTTTAATAGAACTGTGTCGCTGTCATATATCTTTTCGCTATGCAAATATTTTCAAAATGGTAATATGCGTTTAGGAAGGTGCGAAGTTATAGAAGACTTATCAGTATAAAGTGCTACATTAAGCATCTTGACTTGGTACAATTATCTTTAGCACATGCACTTTGTAGAAATTTTGTTCTGGTTTTTCACATATTACCAAAAATCTTGTTCAACGCAATGCATTTGTGCGTAATTTAACTCCATCTTGCACTGATCTTAAAATTGGAGCTTAACATTGACTGGTTTGATCATTCTACATAAGACCATACACAAAAATTGTCTAGGTGGTCGTGTCTAACTGAACAGCACTTCTATTACTGTCCCGTTTGAATGTTGTATAAAGATAGTGTTATATATTTTGCAAGAATATGTGCATCTTGCTGTTCAATAACTTATAGCTGTTTGCCTTTCTTGGTATCCTGCTGAGGACCCCTTACAGTCCTTCGCAGAAACTTTTCTCTCACATTTTCTCTATGCTGTCCCAGGATGCTTTGACATCATGCAGATAATGCAGCAGCAGTAGCACTTGGCACATGCTGTTGTAGACACTTTCCCATGAAAAGTCCTCTTTCTATTCTAGCGAGCGCTGCTGTTTTTTCCTAGTGTGAGTCTACTTGTCTCGTAAACATTTTTAAAGCAACCCCATCCCCCCCCACTGATGTCATCGGCTGCGCTTTTCACTGTGTTTCCATCTTCATGTGGTCCTGTGTATTGTAGCAGACTCATTCATTCAGCGGAGAGAGTGTGCTTGTACAGTTTGCTGATGTGATCTAAGCGTTGTGCTCACAAGTGGTTCAAGGGTCAGTAGTGAGGTGCCAGGTTGTGGCTAGAAGTCCTTCTATGGTAAGATCTGGGTGGCTTTGATCTCTGTCACTGCCTAGTGAAAGTGGCATTGAGCATGTGCGGCGTTTTCTGTCAAAATCTACTTGTACATAGTACTTTGCGAATTGCAAGGAGTCCTGGCACTCGATTTCAAGGAGAAACAGAAATATGTTGTCAACTTGAGTAGAATACACAGTGTTCGGCTACTCACCTGAGTCAGTGCCTAAAAAGTGCTCAAACTCTGTTCGACCACCAAGTGAGTTTATGTAGCATCCACTGTGCATGCTGCCGTGTCACCTGGGGTGCTATGCATGCACAAGCTAATGTAGTAAAGGCCATGCTTTGGTTGCCCTGGGGTTTCACTAATACTGAGGTCATATTTCTTTTAGGCAAATGATGACACCAAAGGAAAGCTATGTGTCTTAACCACCTTGACAGATGTTTCAAAAGGGCAAGACAGTTGTGAGAAACTTGCACTGCACTATCATGCAGGACTTGTTTCAGGTTTTTTAAGTTTTCAAGGATTGTAATTTTCATCCGAGTTCACGTTTAACGCTTGGCAGCTCATCAGGTGCCAATATAGTTAGGGATCCTTTGGCCCACCATGCATCCTGTCAGTTGAGGCTCAATGTGCACAGGTGAATTATTGGCATAGCTCCCGGAAAGATGTAACCTCACCACTTTCTCCCTGTCGGAGATTCCCAAGTGTCTGGGGCAATTTTTTGACTCTCGCACTTATGCACTCGTCCTATGTTCATGCGCTCTGTGTGAATGCATTATCCTGGGCACATGTCACGCCCTGCAGAGAAGTTTCTTGTACTTAACAAGGGCTGCTGCCTAGCAGCCTGTGTGTATGTATGCATTATAAGCAATAGTGCAGCATGGTACCTCATGTATAGAGGATGGCTAATTATGTGCCTAGAAATGAGGAAATCTTGCCTGTGAAGGATGAAGTACTTGAAGTAACAACAAGGTATTGTATTGTACTTGAATAGACAGTGCTTTAACTATATAACCAGATGCAATTAAACCTCAGTGCACATGAACATAGGCAGGTGTAAGTGAAACTGCATCACTTTCAGGTTGTGAGCTAGCTTTAATACTGAATTTTTCAATGATGCTTAGAACAAATTTTACAGGTGCTGTAAGCATGAAATGCTTTATGACTGTTCTCATTGTGCTGCTGTTGTAAATAATTGAAATATTTCGACTAATACTACAAAACCTAATTTGACCAACTTTGATGTTTACGTAGTTTTGCATCTTCGAAGCGTAAGTTGTATTTTTGCCTCATGCTTGCTTTGTACATATGTTTCTTACTTACTGCTCTACTGGACATAGCAAAGTGTCTCAAGTAAATGAATAAGTAAGTAAATAAATAAATATATAAATCAGTTGCATAAACACATGCGCATACATGTAGAACATCACACCAATAACAGTAACGAAGGCAGAAAATTTTCACGTGTGCTGTGTTCATCTAACTGGTGTCTGCTTTTGGTTTCTCTTGATTGGACATTAATGGTGAATACCGTGTTAAACTGGGTCGGTAAGTGACATGTCATCACAAGATTTGGACATCTGTCAGCAGAAGTTTGTAGTTTATTGAAGCACGATGACTACTATATTGTACTCAAAGAAAATCAAAGAATTTACCAAGTTGTTTGTAACAAAACGATTCGAACACGCAAAGACGGTACTTTGGTATCTGTAATTTTGTACTTACAGGGTGAGGAACTCTGAATAAGCGTAAGCAGTGGCAAGCTAATTGAGTCAGTAATAAACACTCTTCTACTAAATAAACACAAATTTAACATTTAAGATATATCTCGTAAGGCTGAACTCAGTATTACTAGGTGTCTCTTTAATCTCTGTTTTGTGACACTTTGTCTATGATATTCACTTGGCTGCCTTCTGGCCGAGCTATGCCTGACGCTGAAAGCTCATTTATAAATATTAAAGCTAGCTAGATGTGCTCATGAGAAGAGCAAGGTCTATCTGAGTGTTCCATGCTCACCATTTGTGCCTGTAGGAAAGGTAAACCTGTTTTAACAGCAAAGCTCTTATAATAGTTAACTTGCACCATCTACATGTCTGTGTGGTGTCACACAGGCAGAGGGGGAAGTGGATAAAGAAATGAGATGATGATGATGCTCGAAGTCACAATGATCATCATGATGATACTATAAATGAGACTAAGCTGCCTTGGTCTGCCCTCACATATACCCAAGCGATCATGGCCTTGCTTTTCGACATTTACATGGCTGGAAACTGGTCTAGCTTTTATTTTCTTTTTTTTATTATGCTTGGTGGTGGTGTTGATGAGCACAATTATACTATCAATTAATGATAACAATCCACAATATTTCTTCCTTATTGAAACAGGGTGTGTATGATAGTGATCTTTTTTCTCCTGTCTGTACCAAATTGAGTATATTTGTAATTAGCCTGTAACTCAGTCAAGCAGTGTTCATCCCACTGTATTTCTAGGAAATAACCCTGCCCGCAAAAATGCGAATGTCGAAAGTGTCCAGTTTCAACTTTTTTAATGTTCTTAGGACCCCAGCACATAAAAGCAGCTTCACTTCATAAAAGTCCAATCCTTGTCAGTCGACTGCACATTCCTGACATATTATGTTGTTTATGTATGTTCGTTCCCAGGCATTGTATTTTCCATTCTAGTATTTTCTTTTCATTATTGTGGGCTAGACAAGTGCACATTTGGTGCTGATCGATGGTTACTCAAAAATCAAGCCTTTTCAGAACTATTACTGCCTGGAGTATGTAGTATTGTCTGGCTTTAGCCACTAACACCAATCATACAAAATGTCAAATAGCTTTCTTTTTTGTCCTTTTCATATCGTGAAAGGTGCTCACTTATGCCTTCACAAATCAAATTAATGATTATTTCTCATGGTTCATGCTTGAATATTCAGAAATCATGCATCTAATTATTTCTAATGTATTCAATTTTTATCTATTTATACTACTTCATGAGCGATCATGTTTGGTCTCAATGTACACTCCTTGCAAAGAGTAATTACATGTGTGTGTTGTACATGTTCTCACATTTTTCAGGCTATAAATTGCACTACTTCAGCGTGTATCTCGGCATATATCTTGTGGGTGTGAATAGTATGTAGTACTGCGAAGGCTTGAGGGGTGCTGACAAAGACACCTGTTTTCCTCTCTGACGTACACAAACACACCCTCGAGAAAAAGTACAAACTGCATCAACATATACATTTAACCATATGCTAGCTGCTGCTGTATTGCAGCTGCTATACACAGATCTTGAGTCTTACTACTGATCACCATGTACACATGTGCACGAGTGTATCCATTTTTGATGGCTTTAGGTATATGTGCATGTCTGCTTTTTGTTTTTCTTTTCTCTGTGTGTGGAGGCACTCTCTATGTCCATATATAAAATATCCTCTAAAGCACATGCTGCTTTTTCTCTTGGCAAATAAAAAAAAAATCATCAGCCAACTTCTCCCCTGTACCAGCATTCACTCAACTGAAACAGTGTATCATTCCAAATGTGTGCACTTTTTCCCTTTTTCAAGGTCTGTGCACTTGTTCATATATATCCACCAACTTGGGTGGTTTTTCTGATGCGTGCCCTTTGTTTTATTCAGTGGCAATAAATAACGTACTTGAAAGCAAGAGTCGAACATTATTTGCATGTAGGTTTCTCCGATATAGCCACTCACACTAAAGCAGTGCATTTTAAGAAGAAATATGAGAAGCAACAAGACCGTAGCAACGCTTCCCCCGCTACTGGCCAGCACGGTTGTTTTAAAAGCACTCGGCACTATGTCCCTTCAGGACTCGTTTATGAAGGTAAGCAAGCTAAAAGCATGAACCAGTGCCATAACAAGGGGGTGTCTGGTTTCTGAAACAGAAAAATGACAAAACAATATCTTTCTAAATATTTTCTAGTTTTTTTTTTATTCTGCCTCTACAAATGCATAAGCTCACCAATTTTCATTCATCCTAGATCAATGTTTCAGCCTTTACAGCATTTTTGTCACACGATCTACCGATGGCGTTTTGTTTTTTGCTATTTTCTTTTTTGTTCTTTCAAGCTTTACAGATTTATTCAGTTTTGATCATTTTGTTTAAGCTGAAAAGCTGGATGTTTAAAGAGTGCAAATTGCATTGGTGGTGGTGTTGGTGTTGCAGCAGGCGGGGTTAGCCTGGCCTGCATGGTCGGCAATTGTTCCGCCTGAGCATCTCCTGAATTTGGAAATTGTCACCACGTGTCAGACAGCCCAGTGTCTCGCAGGAAGACCAACAAAATTCGCCGCTCCTGCTGATCTGCCAGATGTATACACGTCTGCAAAAATCCTCTGCAAGGGTTTGCAAATCTATCCCTTGTTTCAAAGCGAGCGCTCCGAATGGCCTGTGTGAGCGGATCTTCGCAGAAAGACTATTTATTACTGCCCATATCCTTGTCAAGGGCGTAAACGTTGATAAACTCTCACAGAAAGCGGCCCATTGATTTCGTCTTAATTTTTTGTATGGCGACGAATAGCAGCGTTTATCCTGTCATATTCGGTTTTCGCAGACGAATTTCTTTTGTTCTCGTTAGTTTCCGCTCCGCTCGTCTACGTGCTGCGCAGAGGTTCTGCAATTTCAAGTCAGGAGCAGGAAAATGGTCAGGCAGTTTCAGCAACGAAGTTGCCGCTCGCTTGCTTTACAACATATCTGCGAACAGCTCACCAGTGGATTTGTCGAATGCTTCTCTGTAGGTGTCCCAGCCTGTTACATTGCAGAATTGTCGACCAGCAGTTCGAAATCCCAGGGTATTTGTGAAAATGGGGAAATGGTCGCTGCCCATCCTGTCTAGAGCCGTGGTCGATGATACCAGAAGGTCCGTGGAGTGAAGTACAAGTTCTATTGCACTCCATGATGCTGGTGGCCTGAAAAAGTGTAGGTTTGCCATGCTTTGCCACACATAAGTCGGCAGCATCCGCAGCTGCTAGAAGTTCCTTGCCTCGAAAATCTGCACTCTTATCTCCCCAGAGTGGATGGTGTGCGTTAAAATCGCCACAGATTATTCGAGGAGCGGGACATCGAGTGCAAAGGTCCTTTAGGAAAGTCTCCACGGAGACCTTTTTTCGTGGGCTTATGTACACCGATACCACACTCAGTTTTCGGTTTCCCAGGCACACTTGCACAGCAGAGACTTCCAGTGAGTTGGAACAGAGGTCTTGCACTGCTAAGGCGACGTGAGGTATTTCCCGCCTTATGTATATCATTGCGCTTCCATTTGCAAACGACGTTATGCTCGGGTTGCCGTGTCGGGTGTACCCTGGGAGCGTCCTTGCATTCGGTAAATAGGCTTCAGAGAGGGCTAGAATCGATATTGGAATGTCGCGCACGAAAAGGTTGAGTTCGCACAGACGTTTTAGAAGACCGGCGCAGTTTCATTGCATTATTAAAGGACGAAACAGACCAGGTGGGCGAGACATTGCCATTATTCTACTATGTGTATGTAGAAGCAGAGCAAAGTAACACTGACTCTACAGCCAGGACTGCTTCCAACATGTCCTTCAGTTGAACTCGCAGGCATCTTAGCGATGTGTGAACGTAGTGCGGTGAACAGAGCACGAATAACGTGCTCGAGGTTTTCTTGCTGTTTGCTTCCAGATGGTACTTGAGGTGGGCTCAGTGCATCAGCGTAGGTGCGCTTGGTGGACTCTTTCGCGATACATTTCTCACTGGCGTTGAGCACTTGCGTTGACTCAGTACCAGCTCTTGTAGGATTTAGGCACAGGGAAAATTTCCTGCGTACTCGTTGTCCAAACCGCCATGTTGTACGTGGTGCGCCGGACGTCTTCTTTGTGAGTGATGGCTTCGTTCACAGTCTTCGGGCCGAGGACAAACGTCTTATTTCTTCGCTGCGCAGCTGTTCGTGCTGGACATTGGGCGTAGCTAGCTGGGTGGTCGCCGCCACAGTTTGCGCACACAAGTTTTTCTTTACTTTTACACGTCTTAAAGTCATGAGGCCCCCCACAGCGCTTACACCTTTGTTCCCCACGACAGTGCTTAGCAACATGTCCAAAACGCTGACATTTAAAACAGCGTGGTGGCGTCTCCACATAGTCTACAAGCTCGTGTCTGGTGAAGCCAAGGTTGATCTTCTCTGGACGTTCCGAATTGGGAGCGAATGTGAGAACCACAGAGTCAGTGCGCCTTGATTCCCTCTCGGAAGATGAGGTTTGGACCCGTCGTATGATTCTTCTTGCGATGTATACTCCCTGAGTTCTCAGGTACGTTAACAGCTCTTCTTCCAAGTACCATCTTGGGACTCCTTTTATAATGCATGTATTTTTCATTTAGCTGTGCGGTACATGGGCAGATATGGCAAGGCCGCAGACAGTGTTGGTCTCTAGAAGCATATTAGCTTGGTGTATGTCTCTATATCCAAGAACAGGGCTCCCTGTGCTGTGAAATGGCTCTTAACTTGGGCTCCACCGAGAATCGTTTCAGTTTCCGAGTATAGGTCAATAGGATTCACTTGCCTCAAGTTAGCTCCTTCAGATGTTGGAGCAATTAATACAGGAATGCCCACCGTCCTGTCTTTGCGATGTCGCACAAGGCGGAAACCACCCTCGTCCATGTCTAGATCTGTGAGGTTCGCCCGGTTGTGGTCCCCGACGACAGTTGATTCGTCCTTAGATTCAACGTAGTGTTGTCGCTTGCAGTCAGGTATGCTTGCGCAAACCAGCTGGTGCTTCTGACCTGGTGTCACACCTTGGGAGGTCATGGCGGCGCTCTCACTGATGCTTGTTTCGTTTCTTCTAGCACCTTTCGACGCGGCGGGCTGCGCAGCACCCGTCGGTCGCCGATACGGCAGGTACCTTTTCGAGTCGTCCGACGTCTTGAGCACTGCTGAGCCGTAATATAAACAAAAATAACGATAACAGCAGACAGTACTTAGCCAAGCAGCAACAGCTTCGTCGTCTTCCTATTCCAAAGTAGCACACACATGTCGCTAATGCGCACATGTGGAAACGACATGTCTGTGCTACCTTGAAACGACAAAGTAGCACAGACATGTCGTTTCCACATATGCGCATGCGTCATTGACACTTTCTGCCCTTCCGTTCATCTTTTTTTTTTTTTCATAATTACGTTAGCGCTTCCTCAGTTACAAATATAATTACGACTAATTAATTAAGTTTCATTTAGGAAGAAATAGTAGTGGCTAGCTACTACAGTATATTAGGAACAATATGCACTATAGGTTTGGTTCGGGAAACGCCGTTCCTCTTTTAGTGCTAAGGGCAGTCTCGGCTCTGGTTTTCGCCGTCGTCGTTGCAGCCGCCGACATTGAGTGTGTGCCTGCGCGCGCGCTTATCTCGCGAGGGGACAAACAAAAAGAGGGGGGGGGGGGGGACGATCGGCGCGCGGCTTGTGCCCCCACAGCCGGCGGGAGCTTCTACGGGCTGCGTTCTCAACACGAAAAAATGAAGCCAAAGGTGTACCTGGAGCAGCCATGTCCTCTTACACCAGCGTTTTGTAGAGTTACGTGAGATAGATTTTAATGAGTTGACTGCCAGCCTCACTTCACTTATCATCGCCGTCACTACGCACGGGCAATATAGAGGGGGCGCTGGCACGAGCCCTGTTGTGGTCATGTACTGTGGCTGCGCCGCAGGAAACTTGGTTACTTAGCGAGCACATGTTTACAGCGATTAATGTTGCTCCTAAAAATGCTAGCCTTGCTTCGTAAAACATTAGAATACGTTGCTATCGCATTCATTGCTTCACCTTTTTGGCGAAACTGGCTTCTTTAAAATCATGCGTGATAACTAGATCTTATATATATATATATATATATATATATATATATATATATATATATATATATATATATATATATATATATATATATATATATATATATATATATATATATATATATATATATATATATATGTGAGAGGGAGGGAGAAGAGACATACTTAGCAGTTGTCTTGATTTTATCATTTATCATTTATAACGGTTTCGACTGGTGGACCAGGCTTCATCTGGGTTCGTGAAAAATAAAGGTTACTTATTCACAAACCCTGACTAGTCCACCGGTCGATACCGTTGGATATAAAATTAAGACAACCGCTAAGTTGTGTCTCTTCTCTTCCCAAGTAGGTTTGGCCCATTGGAAAAACTTCTTCAGTACACACACACACACACAGACACGCACACACACACACACACACACACACACACACACACACATATATATATATATATATATATATATATATATATATATATATATATATATATATATATATATATGTATGTATGTATACGTTCTTGATGGATATTTCAATATTACAAGGGTATATAGGACGTTAGGCAGAGGCTCCGGAAGTTTATCGCGGCATTGGGGAGAGGGGGGCTCGAGATACTAAGCCTTGATCTTTGGCTGCAGTCTCGGGATAACGTTTTGAATCATATCCTAATGTGCATGCACACAAAGAAGTGCGCACGAACCAGCACGCTGCTGTTATTTATACTTAGCGTGTGACTTTACAGAGATAGGTCAGCTTTACAAGATGAGTATCTCAACCATGACCACGTTTATTTTTACTCGACTAACTTTTTTCCAATAAACTGGCTGCAAATGGCTCGCAGATATTTGCCATTTC